CTGTAGATGTAGGACAAGGAGTTTAAACTAAACAAAAGTAGATTTAGCCTACATCTAAAGAAGCCATTTTCTACAATGAGAGTTATGAAATATTAGCAGAGGTTGCTCAGAACTGCGGATGCCTTATCCCTGGAAACATTCAAGAGACTGTTGGATGGGGCTCTGAGCAGCCTGAGCTAGGGGAAGCTGTCTCTGCTCATTGCAGGGTGCTTGGACTAGATGGCCTTTAAAGTTCCCTTCCAATCCAAACTGTTCTAGAATTCTGTGATCTTTACAAAAACAAGATATATATATGGGTATAAAAAAATAAGACATCAAGTCAAATTAAAATACTTGTGTAATTCAATACTATCTGTTCCTCAGTGTTCCAGCTGTTCATATCTTTGAAAACTTCTACATGTTCATCTAGGAAATGAGTGATGAAAAAAGAATGATTAATAACACAGTAGTGATTATTTCTTAGGTTTACAAGTATCAAAGCAATTAAGAGCTGAGGCCGGCAATAAATTCTTTTCTGAAATGTACCAGGATTTCTTTTTCCACTGCTTCCTCAGGATTTTTAAATTTTAGCCTTTAAACTATAATTTCACACAATAATCTGAGTTGTAAGGGACCCCAAGGATCATCGAGTCCAGTTCTTAGGTGAATGGCTCATACAGGGACTGGACACATAACCTCTGGTGTTGGTGTTTTTAGGACCACATTCTAATCAGCTGAGCTAATCTAAGGTCACCTATGTCTAGTTTTAGCCTTTCTAGTAAGATGTGAATAAGTCCTTTAATTTGGTGAAATGTAGAAACCCAGGCTTTCAGAGAATGATAATCTCTAAGTAGAAAAATTAAATCTTCTCATAGTGGTGCTTGATACCATTGAACTCTTAAGTCAAAGGAAAGAAGAGACAGAGTAGATTTCTTAGTTACTCTACTGAACAGAGCCTGTGGCAGGTACAGAATTAAATTTATCAGAGTGAACACAACACAGTCCAAGATGATAAATCATCATTGGGAATTTACTCTTTTGGAATATGATTCTATGAATATATTTAACCAGATTTTCTAAGGAAATAATTATGCTATGTGAGCATTCATACCTGTCTCTCCCTCAGCTGGAGTGAGACAATAGGCAATGGCAATGAAATCTAAAAAAGATCTAAAAAAGTGAGGAGGAAACAAAACAACAGGTTCCTAAAAACTTTGTAAAACTATATGGTTAATTAAAAAAACAGGGACTGTTTTTTTTTTTTTTTTTCTGAGTGTAACCTGTATTGTTACGACAGGCCAGAAAATTCACAGGAGTATCAAAGAAAAAGAAATAGAGACCCTTCATTCATGTCTCAGCCTTGGCAAAATTCTCAGTCAGAGCTCAACCTTTTCAGATTGACTGACCAAGGTCAGTTAATCTCAGGATGCAAATGCACTGGGAACTAGATGCCTTTAATTCCAGTGTTGATAGAATTTGATTTTTCCAAACAGTCTATTTCACAAAAACTAATAGCATTCTTTTATTCAGATACAAAATGAAAATACATACTGAACGTGAAAAGAATCTATTGAAAGCAGCTCTATTAATCATAAATGTCCTCTTTTTGTCCAACATCTAAAAAGCAGGCAAGTTTAGATGAGCAAAAAGGTTCTGAGATCTGAACTCAGATGTTGAACTCAGCATGAATCCAATATCAATCAATTAGTGACCCCCTGTCTTTCTTAACTTTTTTTCCGGGTAAGTATTTATATTGCCTGATATTCCAACCTCTATTAAAATCCTCTCTTCAGCATCTGTCTCCAAGCATAGCACTTGTACCAAGGAGTCAATCAATTAAAACTTTCCTCCAGCTTAGGAAAGTTGGTTAGGCTTTGTACCAGAGACTATTTGATCATCTCTTACACTGACCACTGATTTACAATGCAAATAAGTCTCTTGATAGTGCTGGGTATGGTTTTTTCAAGTCCTTCAGTAATGGAAGATTAACATCACTGCACTAATATTTTATATAGACTTTCCTTTCTAAAGTGTTTTTCATATCCAAGCTAGAGCAAGGTAATATTTTATTTTTAAGAATTTTGTCTGAGTATGTATTTGGGCATTGTAGTTTTTGTTATGAATCACAAAGTATTAGTCTACACCCATATCTGTATTTTATGCTGGTAAGTTAGCAAAGAATCTCATATATTCTCTGAGGTCTTTTAAGGAATTGAAACTGTGGTTTTTGTTGGGTTTTTTTTGGTTTTTTTTCCCCACATAAGAGAATTTGTTTGATTTCTCTGAACTCTGTAACTGTTATTCAAGTGTGTCCTTACGACAGCTGTAAATGAACAGTGAGCTCAGAGATTGGTGAAGGTACCTGATAAGTGGCTGGCACAACTGAAGAGTAAAAAGATAAGAGCACCCACTAAAGAGAGGACTGACAGGGGTGTACTTAGAATTTCTTTAACTCCTGGAAGCACCACTGATCACAGATTTAAGGTGGATCTGCCTCAAATTAATTGTCTATGTCAATTCTCACTGAAGCCTTTTAATCTCAAATCCCCAAGTATTTTTTTAACTGCAAACTAGGGCACAACATTTTAAATAGAAACAACTGAATAACAGTATTTCAAAGAAAGAATTTTTTTTTTTTTACAAAGCTTTCTTCAAAAGCCTCCTGTAACTTTGTAGTCAACTTCCTGGCATACCAGCACGGTCTTGGGCATGCTCAGCAAGTCCTGAACTGTCCTTCCCCCCAGAACATTTGCACAGTTTGCTCTTGGCATTTTTGGGACCCTCCTGATTTGCTCTCCAGCTCCACACTGGGCACCTTCTGCCAACATGCACACAGTAGTCTTATTTTACCCCAAGAGATGGGGACATCTCTTCACCCTGGGGCAAGGTTCATACCTTTACCAGTAACTCTCTTCAGGAATAGGTCCCACAAATCCATGTCACCTATGGATGAAGGTGATCTCCTAATAATTAAATTAACAGTGTATATAGAGACTGGGAAGTGCTCTGAAGTAATCAGTCCCTTAACACCTTCCCTTTCATTCTATTATTTAAAAAAAGGCAAGTAAGAATGCTTTGTCCCTAATACACCTTTTTTTTTTCTTTTTCCACATCTTAAAATCTTTAAATTATACTGACCCTTTAAAAATCTGGATAAATTTCATTAAGAAAATTTTTGATGGTTTTGATGATGCAGAATTCTGTGACTTGAATAACTGGACCAAAATGTAAAGTTTATTACCAGCCGTTTGATATGGGCAAACTACATTTTTCTCTCTCAACAGCAGAAATCTTAATAAATTTTGCAACTTTTCCATTAAATAGAGAGATGATTTCTAATTTCTAAAAGCAGTTTGGTGGAAGAAAATGGGTAATCAAGAAGACATGGAGAATGTCTTTTCTGAAAACGCTTTTAGTCTGACATAAATGACAGCTATTTAAAGGCAATCACTTGTGTTTTATATCTCACACAAAAAACAGCAGACACAGTACCCCGCCTTTGAGACAAAACACTGATACATGTGACAGAACATTTCAAGCAGTAGTAATCAGAAGCCACAGATCCAGCATCATCAAGAAAACAACTGAAACATTGTCCATTAAGATCTGTATCTCTTTTTGCTATTGTTGTTCAGCCTTTAGCTGATATTACCCTGCACATGAATAAGCAATTATCCGCATCTGACAGGTACAGGAGATGCAAATCCCATCCGTTCTGCAGCATGTACACTGATAACTTACACATCTGTTAAAAATAAAGTGCTTTTCAAAATATCACCCAGGAGGCATGTGTTCTGTTTTCTGTTTAGTGACCTTTGGAAACTCTAGTCCAATGAATAACTAGTGATGCGTGAGTAAGTTGGGAGGCAGTAGCGGAAAAGTGCCTATAACCTTATATGTTATCTGTTAAGAAGATGGCTATGATAAAAAGATACATTGCTCTTTCATAATTTGCCTGAGAGAGCAAATCAATGAGGACATAAACTTGTATCCCCTTAAGTTTAATGGTTATGGAATTCATTATCCTGGACAATTAAAAATATTATATGCAGAAGAAGCGCAGTGAATTGTATCATTTAAGGATCTAATTTAATGGTAATTTGCCACCTTACAGGCATTCATTCATATGGCATCAACCACTTCTTGATAAATCTGGCCTTCCATTCAATCATTTTATGTAGAAAGAAGATGAACTGTGCTTCAAGATGGAAAACCTTCACATTCCCAAGATGCTGGTAGAACACTAAAGGAATTCGGCAATGCCATTCTTCCATCTGTTAGAAACCTTTGTAAGCATTCTGACATATTACAAAGCTAAGACTGCTTCACACCCTACATGGCCCATATGGCCTCGATCTGTGTCAGACAAAGTCAGCACTGTAAGACAACAGCTACATAATCAAAAGGCAAGGAAAAAACACCAAATCCAGGGAGATATGGTACAGCACATATGGCTTTGCTTTTGGTGCTACATTACCAACAAAGCCTTCAGACAAAAGCCCTTCACTGCAAGCCCTGATTACAGCTCAGGTAATTCAGCCTTTGAGTAAGCATATCTTTTAAGCATAGATATGGTCTACAGCTTTTATGTAGCCACTTGAACATTAAAAACCCTTTTGAAATTCTTCTTTTATACTATAACACTACATGTCCACTATCATGCACATATGCCAGGAAACCAAAGATTTTTAAAGAGAAAACACTCCACAATTCCAGCTGACAAGCTAAAAAGGGAGTTACTAAGTCATAGAGGGTCTTCATAATAACCAAACACCCAACTAAGCACTGACAAGTTATGGGGAAGAAAAGCATTTTGAATGCAAGTAGCTAAACCATAAACTTCTTAATAGTGTGAAAAACTTACCTGTTGTATCACTCACATTTTTACAGTTTAGAATAAACAGTGGGCACCTTTATTCAAAATGTAAACAAATTTATTCTTAACTAAATTTAATTAATTAATCACATTATTTTTATTACAGAATATATTTTTCCTATAAGAAAGAATAAATTGTACTTACCCTCTCCAAAGTAATTTCTTCAAATTCATATTCAATTTCTGTTCCATTGACCTAAAGAAAATAAAATGAGAAAATTCTTTAAATCACATGGAAGGTAACTTCATAGGCATACTGTATAGCTGTTTCAGTATCATTGGTTTACTGAAGCACATTTTTCAACATAGAGCTGAGGAGTTCTAAAGTGCTGAATACTTAACTCCCTTTTGTCTTGGGGGGGCATAGTCAAGCCTATAAACTGAAAATAGTAAAAGTTCAGTATGTAATGGCTATATAAATCACCAACATAATAAGACTGATATTTATTAAAACATCTCTGTGGACTTTATGCCAATGTTTAAGTAGTTTCCAAGGTAATAGTTTCAAGTCAAAATAGAAGACCTGCTTCTAATATTCTCACAACAGAAGAAAACTTACTTATGCATTGTCTTACCAGCTCAAATTTACACTGAAATACAAAACCAGACAGGAAATTCACACTACTTATGTAAAAATTACTCACTGATACACACACTGAAATACATCTTGTTTACTATATTAACCTAGGGCAAGAACATGACAGAGAACCTTTGCAAGAGACAGGTGAATGGCAGAAAGGCACAGAATGTTAATGTAATTCCTATGCTGAATCCCAGTGTCAAAAAAAATTAAGCTACAAAATGTAGAGCACCAAAATAGATTGTGCTGGACAAAAAAATCTATCAGCTGAAAAGATGACACTGATTTAAGCAGCATTCCAAAACCTTGTTCCAGTCTGACATGGATTATTTTTGTCGCTCTAGGCAACTTACTTAGCATACCTTTCTCCCTTTTCTCCTTTCTTAAATGGGTAGAGCATCTGAGAAAGCTACAAAGGTTCACTGTATTGCAGGTAAACTGCAGAGCAATGAAAATATATCTATCATTAAAATCTCAGAAGAATTTCAAAGCATCACTTCCATACAACTATTCAGCAATTTTTGACTTGGCCAGAAAGTATTGATTAAAAAAAAAAAGAAAAATATTAATAAGAAAAATTTATTAATAATGCTATTTCAGTTTCTGTAATGATGGGATATGCCCTGGAAAATAGCTTTGCTTTAGTGTCTTACCTAATTTATACTTAATGAAAAAAAAGACCTAAACTGAAGCAAAGGATTGGGATTGACTTCATCTTGGAGGAACAAATTTGTTATTTCTCAAAACATGAACATTTATCACTCCTCCCCACTCCCAGCTGCTAATTTTCTGTATTAGATTCCTAACTGCAATCATAAAACACTGTATATAAATCATTCTTTATCTCGTCAAGCACCTTTCAAATGTAATTAGGTACTTCCCCTGTGAATATTTTAACAAGCTACATGTATCTGCCAAACAAAAGCTTCCTCTAAAATCCACCAACTCTTTAATTTGTTTACAATTCAAGATGTGATAAACCATGAAATCAGTAATAGAAATACAATCTCCAGAATCTGTGTTGAAATGGAAAGAGAGAGAAAAGTCCAAACAAACAACTCATGCTTAACAATTGCAGGAAAACACAGCATCAATGAATATAATATTTAATAGGTGCATAATATTTTGGTTTTTTAGTTTATTAGGACTGGGTAATCACATCACATTACACTTACACCAGAGATGAACAAAAAAATTTTACTACAGGATGCCTTCCTGACCAATGTTATCACTTTAATGTTTTCTGCATAGACTCTTTTACTAATACAGGTAACTTACTACATATGAAGATCTTTATAGCTATTCCATTTTTTGTCCTTTCTTGTCTAATGATAATGAAATCAAAGCTATCTATATGTCTCTGTTTTCATGAACTTCTCTTTCATCTTAGGTTGGTGGATAGCTCTGATCTATGCCTTCAATTCCTCAGTCTTGCTCTATAAAGCTGGCTTTGCTTCACTGCTTATAATTGCTTTTCCTTTGCATTAAAAACTCGTTAGTGCAGCAAAATGGGAAAAAGAGGGATATGAGAAGTGAGCAACCTCTGTAGAAAGATGAAAGGAAAAAACACAAGCTGAATACTCAATTTGTATTTGCACACAAACGGTATCTTGCTCATGACCATCTGAGGGGTTTCTATTATCATCCACAGTGGCGATTCTGAAAATGCCTTCAATTCAAATCAAAATTAATTGCAGCAGAGATCCATTATCAGGCTCTGTAGCAGCAGGGGTGATATGAATTAAAAAGCTGATCCAGCTTTTTGTTATTTAAACATACATGTCTGCATATACCATTCACTGCCCTGTTTGTTTTGCTGGTTGCTCAGCAAACCAATGCAATTATTTCTTAAAGAATCCACTAAGATACTGTACCCACCTGTGGCAGGTGGAATGTTGCTTTATGCAGTACCACTCATTGCTAGCACCATTAAACTCCACATTTAGACTCTCTGGCTGCACCTACACTGCTAAATTATAGTCAGTTTCCAGCCAAGTCTCAGTGCTCAGGGCTGTTTCTGTCTGGAGCCTGCTGGAAGCAAATGGCCAAGGAGTGAGCCAACACTTAAGCAGAAAGAGAATCATGGCTCCAGCACTGGAACTGGCTTGTTGGTGCTCTCATTTAGCAGCATATGGACATACCCTCTGTTTTTGTACATTTTAACTTGACAGTCTGCCTGTCAAAGCACCAACAAGCTGTCTGAACCTGCAACTTCCATTCATTACAAGTAGTGGCAACCTACTCTTGTGTCCCTCTTTGCATGACTTTTCTAATCCTGATTTTATATCAGATTGCAGCAAAAAGAAAAAGCAACATTTACTACAGCCTCCATGATTTTAGATAACTACAAAAAATTACAAACATTTTCATTCCATTTTCTCTTCTCCACAATCAAAGAAACCATCAGCATTTTCCAATTGCTTGGGAAAAATTCTTTCTCAGCTTCCCGCAGTGCAAGCTTGTTATGACAGATATCTTTAATCTCAAGTAAAATTTACATTTATAATGCTGAAATGTGAAATAGTCATCTAACTCTATACTCAAGTAAGTAAAAACAGGCACATGAAGGTCTTAATTAATTTCATCCTCTGCTAAAAACCTCAGGTAGGTGAGGTGAATTGTGCCTGGACATTTCCTTTCACTATGTACAAAGAGAGTCTAAAAATGATGTGTGAAGTGAGGTGAGCACTTGCCTTAAATCTGTTTTCTCTGCATTTCTCCTGGCTATAGACTGGTAACAAATTTCTGCTTAAGGGATGCCGTAAATCTTTTATAATTATGCACCACTTAAAGGCCGGATCTCCGGTTTAGCAGCTTTTCCAGTTGCTTTTTCAGGCTTGTCTGCACCTGTACCTGGCAGCACATGCCTGGCATGATATCCAGCAACTACTCCCACAAGCCCAACCTCAAAGGATATCCACAAGGAACAACTCAATCTTTCCCCTTCTGCAAAAGCCAAGAAACAGTGCTCTTGGCTTCTGTCTCTGATTTGGGACACTGATGTGCATTCTTCTGAGAAAGATGCTCAACAGCACCTGTGACAGCAAGGGGCCACAGACTGCAGCAGAAGTGGGTAAGGGGTACACAAGATGAAGTCCATGGGAGGACACAGCCAAGTGCATCCTTTCTCCAAGGTACAGGAGCTGGAATCAACACGTCTCATCCAGGAACTTGCATTTCCAGCAAAAGAAAAAAGATACTATTGACCAGGACAAAATGTAAAAGTGCTACATGGGAGCAGATGCCCATGAAATCTTTAGATAATTTTGAGGACCTCTGCTGCACAGCCAACACACACTTGTAATGCAAGAAGGTTCTCAGCCTCCTGACCTTACATATGTTCATGATCCAGAGTGAGATGAATGCACAGCCCTTCTTGAATAAGTTACCAAAAGTTAATTAAGCTCAGGTCCTTAAAAGAACCTCCCAGAAAGGCAAGGTAACAGTTACCTTTCATTTACAGCAGCAGTCTAGAGGACTCTCCAAAACATTTGACAAGGAAATGTCTTTAAGAAAGAGAGAGACATAATGTAGGGTAACCATCTAGACTCCACCATTCAAGAGAGATTTCCTGGAAAACTCTCACTGCTATTAGAGTTCAATTACCTCTCTAAGAAAAAAGAACTACTCATCTTCAGTGACACTTAATTTCAGGAGAGTGAGAAATAAGAAATGGGTAGAGAGGTTTTTATTCACAATTTTGTGAAAAATCTGAAGCCCAGCATACAGAATTACAAAGTAAGGACCTGACAAACTCAGATTTGTTTGTTCCTTTATGTGAAGACTCCTAACTTTTCAGGAAGTTTCTCTACTGCAGTTTAAGGGTGACATAAGCAGCTGAAGTAGTCCCTTACTGAAAAATCAGCTCTACAGATTATGCAAAATCCCTAAAATCCTCAAGATAAGCATTCTGTTGGGTTTTTCATTTTCTGACACATATTCTGCCACTTCATTAATACTTTTAAAGTTTTTTTTCTCATAATAACAACTGTAATTTGATATTTTTATTTTACTTCTGCAATTAGTTGATTTGATGGACTTGTTTACACTTGAAAGGTAAACATTGCAGAATTCTTTCTCGCTATACCTCTACCCTACTACAACTGCATCCACTCAAGAAGGCTTATATTTCATTACATGAATTTTAGTGGTAAGAACTGTATTACAATAGCAGCAACAATCTAATAAAAACATACAGTTTATTCAACAGCAAGATTTCAAAACCCCTGGATCTATCCTTTCTAATAAAAACTGCCATCAGAGCCATTTGTTATGCTAAGTCTTATTTTCAAGAAGAGATTGTTTTGCCTAAAAATTACATCTGTAGACTTTTATTTCAAGCAAAGCTCATTTTAATAATATTTAATTGGGCATTGTTTTTCAGAAAACTGCAAGAAAGAAGACTGCTGCTTCTACTTCTGCTATCATATGCATGGGAAGATAACTATCCTGACACTGATTTTCATTCAACATGCAGAATTTGTTCCTTTGGTTTCACCAGTTGTCTCATCACCCAAACCTCAGCAGAATACAAAATTGCCAAATTCTTGTTGTACAAGTAACCTCGGGATATATTTTTCCTTCTGAAATTTCCAGTTGGCTGTATAATAAAGATG